CTTTGTCTAACTCAACCCCTACCACAGCTCACCTTTAATTTTTCCAATGTAAGTTTTAGTTTCATAGTCTCTTATCTTTAATTTCAATATTGGATGAGAACATTACTCTCAGTTATTGGCATATCATCCTAACGAAGAAGTAAAACAAGCAGGATATCTGATAATGACCACATTTAAATAGAGCAGGATTGGATTATTCAATATCCATTGCCTAGTGACAAAGCTATCCAAAGCAGGTGGTAACTGCAGCTACATTCTTAGTCAAAGGAAAAACCCTGTGTTTGATGGGAGAGGGCAATTTGCTGATTAAGATCATTACTCTAAAGCTCTCTTCTCCTTTCAGAGGACGAAAACTAGAAAAATATCGAAAGATTTAGAAAGGTGGCTGCTTTATGAAACCGTAGAAGTTTCTCCTAAGTTCCTATTACTTTGCTGTATTCAATAAAAGGGCACCTTATCTTCTATTGATCTAATAAATATTTTTTAAAAATTAATTTGTGTGTGTGTGTGTATGTGTGTATGTATGCGTGTGTTCTATAGCACATGTATGGAGGTCAGAGGATAACTTTCCTGAGTTGGTTCTCTTCTTCTACCACATGGGTTGAGGGGATTGAACTCAGGTCATCTGACTTGGGCTGCGAGAGCTTTATCTTTTGAGTCCCCAGAGATTTTATGAGTATTTTTTAAAAATTAATTTGTGTGTGTGTGTGTATGTGTGTATGTATGCGTGTGTTCTATAGCACATGTATGGAGGTCAGAGGATAACTTTCCTGAGTTGGTTCTCTTCTTCTACCACATGGGTTGAGGGGATTGAACTCAGGTCATCTGACTTGGGCTGCGAGAGCTTTATCTTTTGAGTCCCCAGAGATTTTATGAGTGTTGTTTTTCATTTTCATTTCATTTTTTAAAAAATCGTCAGAGCTAGTTTTTCTGTTCTAAACATGCTGGTATGTGCTGTCATTAAAAAGTGATTGAGGATGCTATTGTTTCTCTCATACAGGTTTAAAAAACGAATGCTAATAGAACAACTGGAGAACTTTTTGGATGAAATTCATCGAAGAGCCAATCAGATCAACCATATTAATAGCAATTAAAAGAAAACAGAATGTGGCCACTTATTTCATTATCTTCTCCAAATACAAAGTAAATACAAGACTGTTGTAACCTTGCGTTCATTTTTTGACATGCATTGTTGGCTATTTGAAATACTAAAGCAAGTCTACAGATCTTTTTCCATCATTTTACAGTGACCTTTTCTTCATTTTGGTTTATTTTTGTAATGTGAAAAGTATCACTCTAAAAACATTTTTATTTAACAAACTAAAACTACCCCTCCAGATCTGCTCGCCATTGACTCTTGCGTGTCAGTTTCCCTCAGGTTCTATTTTCTTAAATCAACCTTTAAAATGCTCACCTCTGTTAAGGTTGAACTTTGCCAAAAAAAGAAAAAAAAGAAAAAAAGAAAAAAGGAAAAAAAAAGTAAAAGAAATTACTTTGTAATTTTTGGGGACAAAAAAAGCACATACATTAAAAACTAGGTAATGTTTTGTATATACAGTTATTTTGGATATATTATTGTAAGTTGTACAAATGTATTTTGAAGAATATTTAAGAAAGCACTTTTGTTATTCCATCAATAAATGCTCTATTTTACTCTTGTGTGGTTTAGGAAATAATCCCATTTAAAGTAATCACTTAAACACATTCTAAAACAATGGAATTTTAAAGGCCTTGCTTTTTAGCATTGAAAAATACACAACTTGAAGTCATATTTGTTAAACCAATGTGATTACATGTTACACAGTCTGTGTTGTCTTTTTACTGTGTTCGTAGTTTTTGTTGGCCACACCAACACACTACAATTTCCACTTTTTTAAACAGCAGTTTTAGAAGTAGACAACTTTGGATATTACTGGCTTCTTACCACCCTTCAACCCTTCAGCCTTTTTCATAGGATTGTGGATGACACCAAACTTAGCCATTAGTGAGGGAGTGGCAGGTTTGGAGTATAACACATATTCTGACATGTCTAGCCTATAGCCTAGCAGTTTGATGCCATGTTGTGATGATTTCAGAGGGCATCTCTTCATTCTGCTCTGCAGTTCTTACACTTAACCGTGTTACTTAGAAGCTGATGGTGAGGAAGCATGTTTAAGATGACTTTGCTCATTCTGTTTTCCCGGAGTTGCACAGGAGGAGGACGTATGACACTCTTCGTTCTCCACCCTCTCAGTCTAACAGGGCTGTGTATCCTTACTGAGGATATGACCCAGTGACCTGATTCATTTGCCCATTCATGATCACTGCTGTGCCTTTTAGTGGGTGGGGTGGGTGGGGTAACCAATAGAAAAGGTTAAAAGTTTTAGATTTGGGTTAAGAGAGGGAAAAATACATTCCCAAAATTATTTTTAAAAATTGAATTATTTTTAGGTTAATAATATTTGGAAATCCTGTGCTCTTTTTACATTTTATCAAAAAAAATTTTTTTTTTTTTTACATTTCAAGGGTATAACAGAGAAAACTGCAGATATTTATAAAGGAAGGCCTATGTGAAAATGAAGAACTTTCTTGAGATCTGCTATTTTAGTCAAGGGGATTTGAAACTCTCCCAATACTGAAGACAACCCCTGTCAAGAAAAAGAAGCATTTAGTGTAATATCATGTAGTATTTTCATATGCAATTCTTAAACCTTTCTTACCTCTTCAGAATACCTTGAAGTAAAGGACTATCTAATTTAGAGATGGGATTATTAAAGTAATCTCTTCAGTCACATTGGTAAATTCAACAAAAGTACTAAAATTCAGATTTACTATCAGGTTAGAAATTATATGTATATTCTGAGATCAATTGAAAACAGAAGTCATTCAGATAGAACTTTATACTTAAATAATATCTAGGGCAAAGATTCAGTCTTTTCCAATAATTGGCAGCTTTCCTTATCTGAAAGTTATGTTTCCCTGGCTGCCAATGAATTACTTAGTTACTTAGACCTTGGCCTTTGCATCATTTTTTCCAGAATGAATCCTCAAGGGACCTGGAAAGTAGCATTTTCTTTTGTCTCCTTTTGTCCTTTCTCAGGCACAAAACTCTTTATATCCTCATACTAAAATATTGTCGCAAAGTTTGAAACCCACCAAAACCAAAACGTTTGTGTTTTAAAAAATGATGAGCAGGTTAGTTAAACTAGTGAAATTTCCAGAATTCTTGACCAAAGGTAAGGAAGCCTATCTCGGGGGTGGGGGTGGGGTTGTCTTGTATTCTAAGCCATTTACATCACTGAATGATACTATGCTGAACCAATGACACTCTTGGAAAGGTTGAGGTTTTCAGAGAATTTTTCTCAATGTTCCCCACAAGTCCCATCTGTTGATTGATTCATTAATTGATACTATCAGTAAGATTTATCAACTTGGCAGGATGAAGGCTGAGATTTCTAAAGATTTGTTTTTATTTTATGTTTATTAATGTTTTGCCTGCACATAGGTATGTGTACATGCATGCCTGGTGCCCTCAGAGGTCAGAAGAGGGTGTTGGATCCCCTGGAACTGGAGTTACAGACAGTTGTGAGCTGCATATGGGTGATAGGAAATGAACCCAGTCCTCTGCAAGAGCAGTAGGCACTCCTCTAAATGTTGAGTCATTTCTCCAGTCTTGGCTGAGATTCTTACAATCTCTTCAGTAACACCATCAGAAGAGTAGCTACATTGCCTTGGGTGATGTGGGTAATTACCTTCCAGAAAGAAAAGTAAATGAATTCTAAGGACTATATTTACATCTGTTGTGGATTAGGGCACTGGCTTTTGATAAGATGTGCATTTTCATTCTAATTACTAAGTCGGTTGAAAATTATATCATTGAAATTGTGACGTGTCCTTTCCTAGTTCAACAATATTGCATAGTTTTTATATACTTGAATTCTAAAACTGGACTCTTAAGTGTCTCCCCTTTTCTGGATATGAGCTTTTGACAGTGCCCCTTCTGTTAAAGTTTAGTCCTCTCTGATTTCTTAAGTTTTTTTTGGGGGGGGGGTTCCTTTTGTTCTTTTGACATGTCCCTTCTGAGAGAACATCTGCTTCTTGTTCTGCGTGATAAGTGCCATTTTCTTCTGATCATAATCACTGGGATTGGGATAATCATGGTGAAATACTAAGTGGATATATTCTGTTACAAACTCTTCTTTGCAAATAATCCCCCGATAGATTATTTCCCAGTGAATGATTGATTATCTGCACCCTTTTTAATCACAAAAAATGTTCCTTTGATTTTCAGCACAAACTATGCCAGTATGCAAATGATTCTCAGATAAAATGATGTTGAGAGCATTTCCTTAACAATTTGTATAAAACTGCGTATTTTTCATTCTAACTTTTGAATTATTTTTTCTCTCCATAAATAAAAGTAATGCCTGATGTTTAGATACAGTAGATCCACCTTGGCTTGATTTTATTAGTCTTGTTCCGTACTATTTTTTTAAATATACTACTTAGTATTGCCAACAACTCTTTACTGAGAATCTCTTCCTTCCTAGGCCAGAATGACAGAGCTAGTAGACAACAACAAAAAAGGCGAGATATATGATTTTATTTTCATAAGTTGTCTAGTCTCCCTAGAAGTAGAAACCTGAATTTTTTAAAAATCTACATTAACTCCAAATGAGTTGGAAGAATGCAAAACCACAAAGGAAAATAGTTTCCCTTGTACTTATGAAATAATCCTCCTTTCTCAGGTTGTAAGATACAGTGGCTACAAAATACCATAGAAACAGAAGAAATGCTTGTGTTAGACAGTAGTGAACAAATGAGCCGGAATTGCTGGAGGTTAGTCCATTGGAAAAATATACTGTAATACCTGTGCTTGATTCTCTCAGGAAAGAGATGAAAGGGTGATCTGCTTTAAAAACAGGTATCCCAAGACCTCTTCAGTAACAACAGTGCTGCAGAAAAGATGAAGATTGGAATCCTATTGCATTTCTTTTTTTTTTTTTTTTTTTTTTGGTAAAAAAAAATAAAAAAAAATTCTCTTTCCCACACCTTTGTTTTTTTTTTATAATTTTTTATAAAAAAACCCCTCTTATCTATAT